TGGGTGATAGAATGGTTAAATTATCAACCAGAGGAAAGGAAGGAACGAAGAAGGTGAGTACTCAAAGTTTGGAGAAATTATAGAGGCAAGGTAGTCAAATATTTGCCATTAGAGTCGATAAATTGGAGGGTGTTGATGAGGAACACTTTCAGCAAAAGGAGATTGACGAGTTGCTTCAACAATTCGAAGAAGTGAAAGCTGATCCAAAAAATCTACCACCACGAAGAGAGTTCGATCATCGCATTCCTTTGTTGGATGAAACCAAAACCGTACATGTACATCCTTATAGGTATGCCCATTTTCAGAAAACCGAGATTGAGAAGCAAGTTCGTGAAATGCTTGAGTCGGGATTAATCCGACATAGTACGAGTCCTTTTTCTTCACTGGTACTTCTCGCCAAGAAAAAGGATGGGACGTGGAGGTTTTGTACGGATTACCGGGCTCTCAATGCGGCTACCATAAAGGATCGTTCTCCAATCCCAAGCATTGATGACATGTTGGACGAGTTGGCGGGATCCCGTTATTTTTTCAAATTGGATTTGCGAGCGGGTTACCATCAGATATGGGTGGCAGAAGAGGACATTCACAAGACAACATTTCGAACTCATCAAGGGCACTATGAATATTTGGTAATGCCTTTCGGTTTATGTAATACACCATCCACCTTTCAATTCGCTATGAATTCGATATTTCAAGATTACTTGCGAAAATTTGTGTTGGTGTTCTTCGATGATATATTGGTGTATTCGAAGAATTGGGACGAACATGTGATGCATTTGAAAGTGGTCTTGAATATTTTGAAGGAGAATGATTTTCATATAAAGCCTTCGAAGTGTTGTTTTGGCTAAGAATCGGTGGAGTATTTGGGCCACATCATATCTTTTGAAGGAGTTAAAGTGGATTCCAAGAAAATTGAGTTGATGCTTGATTGGCCTAAACCGAAGAATTTGAAGAAACTACGGGGGTTTTTGGGGCTGACCAGATATTATCAAAAATTTGTCAAAGACTTTGGATCGATTGCTAAGCCATTGAAGGAGATGACGAAAAATGGAGGGTTCAAATGTCCGGCTAGTAGTGAGGAGGCATTCGAAAAACTCAAAGGGGCTATGTCAACGACCCCGGTTTTGGCTATGCCTAACTTTGAGGTGATGTTTGAAGTACATACGGATGCTAGTGATATGGGAATTGGAGTCGTCCTTACGCAAGAAGATCGACCCATTGCTTATATGAGTAAAGCCTTGGGGGGTGTACGAGTGGGATGGTCGATCTACGTGAAAGAGTTGCTAGTTGTGGTAGAAGCGGTCCAGGTTTGGAGGCCTTATCTTTTGGGCCGACATTTTCGAATTGTGATGGACCAATAACCTCTAAAGCATTTGTTGGAGCAACGAATAGTGACACCGGAGCAACAAAAATTTATGTCAAAACTCATGGGGTTCGACTTTGAGATTTGTTATAGACCGGGTCGACTAAACGCAGTGGCGGATGCATTATCTCGTCGGACGGACGTGGCGGAATTTCAAGCCATTTCGGGACCAACATGGGCTATATGGGATCAACTACGAGATGCAAATGTTCAAGATGCCTTTTGTAATGATGTTCGTAGGAAATGGAAGCTCAAGAGGAGGAGGTCCAAGATTATGATGTTTATGGCGGCTTGTTACTATACAAAGGTCGGGTGTATGTACCGGAAACCGATCACTTGAGACTTGAGCTGGTACAATATTTCCATGAAGCCAAGATAGGGGGACTCTCGGGAGTGTATCGTACGTGGGCAAGGCTATCCAATACCTTTTATTGGTCGGGGACAAAGAATGACGTTCGGGAGTTTGTAACAAAGTGTGACGTTTGCCAAAGAGTGAAGTCGGATTCCATAAAACCGGGAGGGCTTTTACAACCTTTACAGATACCCGAGAGAATTTGGGAGGACATAACAATGGACTTCATCGAAGGACTTCCAATGTCTAATGGGTTCAACGGGATCATGGTGGTCGTGGACCGTCTTACCAAGTATGCACATTTCATTCCTATTATTCATCCATATACGGCTAAATCCATTGCTAAGTTATTTATTGAGTATCTGATGAAGTTGCATGGGATGCCCCGGTCCATTGTATCGGATAGGGATCGAATATAGTAGTTTCTGGAAGGAGTTTTTCAAAATGCAGGGTACCGAGTTGGCTATGAGCTCAGCATATCATCCTCAAACGGACGGGCAAACCGAGGTAACCAATCGCATTCTCGAACATTATCTCCGATGCTATGTTCATGAATTTCCGAGATAATAGGAAGAATTTCTACCATGGGCTGAATTTTGGTATAATACAACGTACCATGCATCGGCCAAATTCACTCCTTTCGAGTTGGTTTATGGACGGAAGGCGCCCCTACTGGTAGTTATCCGATGGGAAAATCACCGAATGATGAGATGGATCGTGAGCTCATGGAACGAGATATTATGATTCGGGAGCTCAAAGGAAACTTGTACTGGTCAATAAATCGAATGAAGGAGTACTATGATAAAGGAGGAAGAGAGGAACGATTCGAACTGGGTGATTGGGTTTACTTGAAGCTTAGACCTTATCGCCAACACACAATCTCTCAAAAGACTCTATTCAAGTTGGGAAGTCG